TAGGATAAGGTTCAAGCTTAACATACAACATACAAGGCACCTGTGATCTGGCCCCTAATTACCTGTATAGTTTTTTTCTCCTCTAATGCATTCCAAAATTCTTTAAGTAGACTTTGTTTCTTATATCTCTGTTTTATAGTACATGCTGTTCCCTCTGTTTGAATGTCCTTTCTACACTCTCCTCTTTCTACTCTGCAGAAGCTCATCTAATTTTTTATGTGATTGATTTATTTAATTAAGTTGTAAAGGGAAAGGACTTTCTGAATCTGTTTTCTATGGGACTCTGCATTTGCCTCTTAAGGGGTACATATGTTTTGGGGGATGATTTTCAAATGCTGCTTTTGAACTTAAGAATTAAATTCTAAACTTCATTTTTCCCTACAAACCTTTATTTAACCATCACCTCAGCTATCTCCTTTGTTTCTCTGTCTCTCTCTCTTTCTCTCTCTCTCTCTCTCTTTCTCTCTCACGTGTGTGTGTGTGTGTGTGTGTGTGTGTGTGTGTGTGTGTGTGTGTGTATGTGTGTGTGGTGGGGAGTATTCATATCAAAACTATATTCAGGTAATTTAGTTACTCGGTATTTTCACCTAATGATACACTATCCTCAGTCTATATAAGACCTTTTTCTTTTTATTGTATTTCCCCCTTCATCCCGTTCCTTATTTCCATTTCTTTGATGGTTATTTTTCTTTTTATATATATATATTTTTTTTAAATACAACTTTATTTTTCGGATTATTACAGTTGTTCCTCTTTTTCCCCCCCCATAGCTCCCCTCCACCTGGTTCCCATCCCACCCTCTTCCCTTACCTCCCCCCCTCTACTGTCCTCATCTATAGGTAAATGAATTTTGTCCAGTCTCTTCCTTTTTATATATTAATTTTGACAAGTCACAATGCTTCCCAACTCAACCATGTTGCTATACATCTATATAATAAAATCCTAAGCGACAGTTAAGGTAGAAAAACCAGAATGACCAATCACTATGATGTGCACTGACCATCAGGGGGCAGACGCTCAACACAAGAGCTTCCCTCTGGTGGTCAGTGCACTCCCATAGGGGGAGCGCCGTTCGGCAGGTGGTAAGGAGTGAAGGGTTCTGACAACAAGAGGGATGTCCATGGGGAGCAGGCGGACATCCCCCAAGGGGTCCCAGACTGCAAGAGGGTGCAGGCCAGTCTGAGGGACCTCTCCCACCCCCCTCCGCCGCCACCTACCCCAGTGCACAAATTTCATGCACCAGACCTCTAGTGTAGAAAATAAAATGTGTGTTGCACAATGGGGTATATGAGGCCAACGCTACAGGCTAAGTGTTTATGGCTACTACAGGCCCCATGGACTACCCTGAGAACTGAGAGCAGCATCTCAGCATAAGTATAGCCAATCTATGTTACTTGCCATGATATACCAGTGGAGAAGCTTGATCTAGACTTTCTAATATATTTGTGTAAAGTTCATATCCATCAATGATGTTGCAATGAATCACAAAGACAGCAGTGTTAAGTATAGCTCCTGTCTTTAATATGAACAAGCAAAGTAGTAATTTCATCTTAATTAACCCATGCTTAGGTCAGCTGCTACCATATATCTGGAGGGCAGGGAAAGGGCAAATTGAAATGATCTCTGTAAAGCAAGACAGATATATTACAATCAGGTTGGATCATTAGACTCATCATATACCTGGAATGGAAGGTAGAAAGGAGTATCTTCACATTATTAAATGTTCACTTATTTAGACTTGAAGGCAAAAAGAAGTCTAGTCTTGCAGATTATTTTAAAACTTGGGCAACAAATTGATCCTGGAGGGGACAAAAAAATCACAAGAGGCCCTGGCCAGCTCCAATGAATGCATAAATAAGTGGAACAACAAATCAGTGTTTTCCTCTCTCTGTGTCCTTCCCTCCCTCTTCCTCTCTCTCTCCAAAATAAATAAATAAACAGAAAGAAAGAAAATCATGAGAAGTTTGATTTCTCGGTGTCGTCCAGCACAGCAGTTTGTTTGCAAACTATGTTGTCAGTAATCCTTTATACTCTTAAAAATTATCAAGGACCTCAGAGCGCTTTTGTTCATGTGAATAATATCTACTAACATGTACTGTTTTAAAATTAAAATGGAAAATAATTTAATATATTACTAATTCATTTACAGATAACAATACATTGATTATATTGATAATATAACTAACACTTCATGGGGAAAATTTCCAAAACAAAAAAACTGTGAGAAAGGATAGCATCATTTTACCTCTTTGTAAGTCTAATATCTGGCAGCTGTATTCTCACATCAACTTCCGCATTCAGTCTGTTGTCAAATAACCTGTGGAAGATTCCACTGTATACTCATGAAAGAAAGTAATTATTATGAAGTTATATAATTAGTATGGGAATAATTTTAATCTTGCAAACCTCCTAAAAGGCTCCCTGAAAGTCTCCAGAGCACACTTAGGTGCCAATCTAGAAGAAAGGATGAATGCCAGGCTCTTTGTCTGGAGTTTGACTAACATATATGTCCATTTTATAAATTATATACTAAATACCAGGTAGATGATATAGAAAGAATACATGATTGAGTCCAAACTTCTTTCAAGTTCTAAAATAATTTCACTTTCTTCATTAAGGTTATTCATTAAATGCATAAATCTATTTAATTTTTTTAATCAGAAAATTTCTTTTCCAACCATAAGTCTTTATATTTGGTTTTGGGCTTCGTGCTGTAGCACAAAATAGGTGTCCAATAAATATTTGTCAAATAAATAAATTTTCTTAGGGTCTGTACAGCTGTAACTAACTGGATGCCAGTAACTCTATGTCTCTCATTAAACTCTGTGAACTATTGAGGGCAGGATGTGAGCTAATGACAACCGTAGGATGTCAAGTCCCCTCCAATGTCCAGATAATAATAAAAATTATCTTGGCTTCCCTCAGGTGGGCAGGGTACAAGCCTATCCCTGTTCTATGAAAGAAGATTTTTGCTCTTCTCAACTTCTGCTGAAGATATGATCAGGGTACACAGTTTGAACTATTAGTTTCTAGTAAAATAATAATAGCCTCCTTTTATTGAATGTTTACTAAGTGTCAGGTTCTGTGCTACGCATGCATCATGTCATTTCATCTTTAAAATGAATTTTCACAAAGTGTCTTAGCTATTACAATCTACCTAACTCCAGAGCCTTTAAACACCTGACTGCTTCTGGATTGAGGAAGAGACCTACATTAAGGGGTAAGAATAGGAATTTTAAAGGCTGTTTTTTATTTTTGCATCTACCTCTTCATATATTAATGTAGATGAGAAGAAATGGAGGAGACAGACAGAGATAATTCAGTCCTTTTATCACAGATATGGCACCAACTCAAAAGCAAAGAGTGACAGCCTTAATTACTTTTCTGGATGCTGATCAATGCTGGGTCCAAAATGAGCTCATAGGGCAAGAGTGGGATTCACTGAACCTCTCACAGAAACTATTGAGCACAGAATCTTGGTAAATAAAAAACAAACAAACTGTATTTGCTGTGTATTCTTTGTTCATGATGAGTTTAAACAGGAGTGGGGGTTTTAAATATTTGTACACAGAATAATATACCAGGAAATATGTTAAAGTATCTACTAGTAGTATTGACTTGAATGAACCTTTTGTGTCACCTGTGTAAAAGAGAGGAGAGAATGGGTTACAGATGTGGCTAACTTTGTGCTCTGAATAAATGTTTCCCCATGGCTCAGGAACTTTTGTGATAAGGGTAAAAGTTTTTATAGAAGGTAAACAAAGTTTCTTATTCTCAGTCCCTCCTTTAGAGATAAATTCTGGATTCAAATACAGACCAAGAAAATAGGTCAAGAACACTCCATCTTAGGCCTCCCAGTCATTTTTTTTATCGGACTCCCTAAAATGCTAAGAGAGCATTTGATTTATTCTCAAAATGACTACATGGAGCTTTTTCTAGAGCTGATTAATACTCACAAAAATCTATAGTTGTGGAAAAGCAGGAGATCTATCTTGAAGAAACAAGGACTAGTTTCTCAAAGATCTAAAAATTAGGAATGAATTACAATTAATGATAACACTACGTAATCTTAGATATATAACAAAATCTTAGAAATCACCTCATATAACACCTTTTTAAATGATAAAACCAAGATTCAAGAATTAAGTGACTTGGCCAAATTTATATAATTCATTAGTGGTATAAACTAGGGCAGGGATTGAATACTAATTGGTAATTTCTTTCTCATCCTAGTTTTCTTATTTCTTTCTTCCAAGTATTTCCATAATCTTTTTATTAGGCAGGAAGGTGACCATGACCCAGGATATTTGTAGTTAGGAAGAGCTCAGCCTCAGTTTTACTTTTCCTCCAATTAAGATCTTAATATTAAAAAAAAACAACAACAACAAAAAAAACTACCATTTATTAAGCACCTCCCTGGTTCCAGGGTCTTCACATACATTATCTCATTGGATACTTACAAGATTCTTCTAACATTTTAATGATCACATGAATCATTTGGGAATCTTGTTAATGGAGATTCTGATTATGCAGATTATTCTGGGATGGGTTTCAAGATTCTGCAGTTCTAAAAAGCTTCCAGGAAAAGCATTAATGTTGTTGGTCTGTGGACTTTATATTGAGTAGCAAAGGTGTTGGTTGATATTATCTTCATCTTATAGATGAAAAACTGAGCTTTACAGAGATTTAGTAAACTGTCCCAAGTTCATACAGGCAATAAGTGGTAGACTAGTATTTGACCTAGGTCTTTCTGGCTTTAAAGCTTTATATGTGATAAGGGAAGCCAGGGAAAAAATGGACAGAGAGCTTATGACCCAATATTTCTTAAACAGGTCACTTCTCATGTAGGCCAGTGGCAAAATCCAGGATAAAATAAAAAAAAGTCCTGACTCCCAGCCAGCTGATTCTCCTTTTCCCTCCCATCAGTTCCCTAATCAGGATCTTTCCTTCCTGATTAGCAACCATATTTATATTTGGCTTTTGGGCTTTCTCCATTACAGGTTTATTGCCAAACCCTGTGCACTCCATGTTGGCATCCAGGACAGTGGTCCTTATCAGCCCCAACCCAATGCCATCCTTGAAAAGGTGTTCATATCGATTACTAAGGTAAGTGGGCAAAGAAACAGACGATTCCTAAGAGGGATTGCCCCATAGGGCAGGAGAAGATACAGGACAAGTGTTTCGCAAGTGTAAGGATAGGATGGGATGATCTTTTCCGTTTGGGTAGTCCATATACTAGGTGTATCAGTTAATAATGAGGATTTTTTCCAATAGATGGAGTTACACATATGTTGATATATATGCAATTTGATACGTATGCTATTTTGTTGTATTGATAGCAAGCTTCAAAACTTCATATGTCATATAGATCAATGGAATAGAATCGAGATCCCAGATATCAACCCAAATCACTATGCTCAATTAATATTTGACAAAGGAGGCATGAATATACAATGGAGTCAAGACAGTCTCTTCAATAAATGGTGTTGGGAAAATTGGACAGACACATGCAAAAGAATGAAATTAGATCACCAACTTACACCATTCACAAAAATGAACTCAAAATGGATACAGGACTTAAACATCAGATGGGAAACCATAAAAATACTAGAAGCATCCACAGGCAGCAAAATCTCAGACGTATGCCAAAAGAACTTCTTCACTGATACTGCCCCTAGGGCAATGGAAGCTAAAGAGAAAATAAACAAATGGGACTACATCAAAATAAAAAGCTTTTTTACAGCAAAAGAAACCATCAACAAAACAACAAGAAAGCCCATGGTGTGGGAAAACATATTTGCAAATAATACCACTGATAAAGGCTTAATCTCCAACATTTACAGACAGCTTATACAACTAAATAAAAGGAAGATGAATGATCCAATTAAAAAATGGGCAATGGACCTAAATAAAACATTTTCAAAAGAAGACAGAAGGAAGGCCAAAAGGCACATGAAAACATGCTCAAAGTCACTAATTGTCCGAGAGATGCAAATCAAAACCACAATGAGGTACCATCTCACACCTGTCCGAACGGCCAACATCAACAAATCAACAAACAACAAGTGTTGGTGAGGTTGCGGAGAAAAAGGAACCCTCGTGCACTGCTGGTGGGACTGCAGACTGGTGCAACCACTGTGGAGAACAGTGTGGAGTTTCCTCAAAAAACTGAAAATGGAACTCCCATTTGACTCAGTAATCCCACTCCTAGGAATATATCCCAAGAAACTAGAAACACCAATTAGAAAGGATATATGCACCCCTATGTTCATAGCAGCACAATCTACAATAGCTAGAATTTGGAAACAGCCTAGGTGCCCGTCAGCAGATGATTGGATCAAAAAACCATGGTACATCTACACAATGGAATACTATGCTGCCATAAAAAAGAAGGAATTCTCATCATTTGCAGCAACCTGGATGGAATTGGAGAACATCATGCTGAGTGAAATAAGCCAGTCAATGAAAGAAAAACACCACATGACCTCACTCATTTATGGATAGATATAGAGATGGTAAAGCAACAAGCAGACTGTCAAATTACAGTGGGGAGGGGAGGAAGATCTGGGGGAGATAATAGATCAACCGAAGGACTTTTATACATGCACATAAGTACAACCAATGGACATAAAACTCTGGGGAGGGAGGGGTTGTGTGGGAGGGAGGGAGGGGGGCAAAAAAAAAATCAATAAAATATATTTTAAAAAATAAATAAATAAAATAAAATTTTAAAAAAACATATGTCAAATTTTCTTAAGGTGTTAACATCATAGATATTTTTACATTTAAAATGTCAAATTTCATGCCAAAAAAAGCATTTGTGGGAAGTTTTAATTTACTATCGATATTTTGAAGAAAAAGTTCTCATATACTTCGGGAAGCTTATGGTGAACATGCTCCATCTCAAGATACTTGTGAACACTGGTTTAAACATTTAAAAAGTGATGATTTTGATGTGAAAGACAAAGGACATCCAGGTCAACCGAAAAAGCTTGAAGACCAACAATTACAAGCATTATTGAATGAAAATGTGTGTGAAACCTTTTTGAACTATTAGTTTCTAGTAAACGTTGCTCAGCAAACAATTTACAACTGTTTACAAGCAATGTGTAAGATTTTAAAGGAAGGAAAATGGGTGCCACATCAACTGAACAAAAGTCAAATGGAAAACCAAAAAGTCATCAGTAAAATGTTGCTTCAACAGCACGAAAGAAAGTCTTTTTTGCATCGAATTGTGACTGGCAATGAAAAGTGGATTTATTTTGAGAATCCCAAATACACAAAATCATGGGTTGATCCAAGTCAACCATCAACATCGACTGCAAGGCCAAATCGCTTCAGAAAGAAGACAATGCTCTGCGTTTGGTGGGATCAGGAAGGTGTGGTGTATTTTGAGCTTCTAAAACCAGGTAAAACCATTAATATTGATTGCTACAAACAATCAATTTGAACCATGCTTTGATCTTAAAACAGCCAGAATGTGCCAGAAGACACAGCAAAGTAATTTTGCTTCATGATGACACACCATCACACACTTTAACACCAGTTAAAGATACGTTAAAAGATCTTGCCTGGGAAGTATTAACCCACCCGCTGTATTCACCAGATCTTGCTCCTTCAGATTACTACTTGTTCCGATTGATTGTACAAACTTTCTGAGCAGCACTTCAAAACTTACAAAGAAGTGGAAAACTGGGTCTCTGAATGGTTTGCCTCAAAACAAAAGTTCTATTGGGACAGTATCCACAAATTACCTGAAATATGGGGAAATGTGTAGCTAACGATGGACATTACTTTGAATAAAGCACTTTTGATGTTTCTCTTTACATTATTGTGTTTTCTTTGATTACAAAATCCACCATTATTAACCGGTACACCTAGTAGCTATGAGGAAAACTATCTCCTCAGAGAAATACCTTTGGGCTAGGATCTAAGTCGAGTTGACATAATTTGAGTTTTAGGCCTAGCAGCCACCACCACCCTTGCCCCCAGACAAATCATATTTTAATTTTGTTTTTCCCTGCTCCAGCTTTTGTCAGTATCTAGTTACATAATTAAGATGGGGACCATAGATAGCCTTTGCAGTTTGGATTTTTAATATTTTTTTTACTCAGCTTGGGCTGGAGGGAGAAGACCAAACAAGGATGTGTATAGATGAGTGATAAAGGTTCTTAATGTGTGAAATAGTACTTTTGTGATGTGTAAAAATGACTTTTTAAATTGTTTTCAGAGAGGAAGAGGGAGAGAGAAAGAGAAACATCAGTAATGAGAGAGAATCACTGACTGGCTGGATGCCCCACACTGGGCATTTGCCCTAATTGGGAATCGAACCATGGTCTCCTGATTCATAGGTCAAAGCTCAACTACTGAGCTACATCAGCTGGGCTGAAAATGACTTTTGAGATGAAACCTGGAAAGATAACATCACTTAAGCCACTATAGTTATCACCCCCTTTGCAACTGAACTAGTCAAGGGATTTAATGAGATGTTTGAAGAAAAAGAGATGTTCTCTGGTCATATATCTACAGTATCCTGATGAGAAAAGACTGGAGGGCCTGTCAAAGCAGCTGGACTGGGATGTCCGAAAAATCCAATGCTGGTTTCGCCATCGGAGGAATCAGGACAAGCCCCCGACGCTCACTAAATTCTGTGAGAGCATGTAGGTGTGCAGAGGGAGGTGGGGAGTGAGGAGAAGGATGAAGTGTGAGTGGACTGAGGTTTTCTTTTTGGAAATGACTTGTATCATTAAGACAATAGTCGATGAATGTGCAGGACTGACTAACTATATTTATTATAGGCAGGAAAGAAGAGCATGGGGAGACTAGTCACCCTTTCTTGGACGTGCTTGCCACTAAGCTAAATGTAGTTCCCTTCCCCAAATACACAGATTGGGAGTGAATTCCTGTAACTGTACTTTTGTTGGTAGACGTGCACACCCTTTGTACCTTGATAGCAATAGTACCAGCTTGCTCTAAATGGACTTTTTGATGGGCAGCATCCCTTTTCTGGGCATACTATACTTATTTCATTGGGTTTTTACTAATTCCCCTCTGGACACAGAACACTGTATTTATCATTGTGCAAAGAAAATATTAGGCATTATTATCAAGGAGTAAGATATAGAAGAAAAGTTCATTAAAGCCAGTATACATTTGTGGATATCTATTTTAAACAGTATTTGTCCCTATTCTGGGGACTTAACTTTCTTTTCACCAGTAACTATCTTATCTCCAAATCTGCTATCTTGACTTCTTTAACCCCAAAGACTTTCTTTTAAGTGAATATTCATCTAACCTCTACTCTTTGCCCACCCAGGTGGAGATTCACTTTTTATTTATGTATATTCTGCTACGGAATTAGATTTCTTTGGTCGGTGAGTGTGAACTTTCTCTGATCTTCTTTTGGGTTCTAATCATGCCCACATCTCTAGAGAATAATTGGTATTGATTAAATCAAAATAAGCACAATGGTTTACATAGGACTTGACAAAAAACCTTATTCTTCTAAGGAGGAGACAGTTACAGAAATGGAATCAGTAACTCTTTAAAGTGGGTAAAATAGGTATAATTCCTGCTTTTCAGTTAATTGCCAGAGTCAAAGAATTTCAGATTTTTGATTTCTGATTACATGTTTTTTATTTCATTTATATATTTTTCTAAATGATATAATTAAGGTTTCAAAATAAATGAAGCAAAAAGAGGCAGAACTAAAGAATGAGGATAGACAAACATACAATCAAATTGTGTATACTTAAAGATTTTAATACTCTCTTATCAGTAGTTGACTAAATCACTAGACAAAAAATATCACTAAGGCTATAGTTTTGTACAACACAGTCAAACAATTTGACCTAATTGACACTTAGGAAGAACACTACACCAATAGCTGAAGAACATATATAATTTTTTAAATATATATTTTATTGATTTTTTACAGAGAGGAAGGAAGAGGGATAGAAACATCGATGAGAGAGAAACATCGATCAGCTGCCTCCTGCACACCTTCTACTGTGGATGTGCCCGCAACCAAGGTACATGCCCTTGACCGTAATCGAACCCAGGACCTTTAAGTCCAGAGGCCAACACTCTATCCACTGAGCCAAACCGGCCAGACCGAACATATATAATTTTTAAGTACACATGGGACGTCAATTAAGATAGACCATGTGATAGACCAGATAATCTCTGCCTCCTGGTGCTTACTATAGGCTGTGTTCTTACATTGATTGTACAAAAAGAGGAGGCAGAATAAACCCACCCCTTATATACCTCAACCTGGGCTCTTAGTCTGGTCTGTATTGTGACTAGAAGTGGGGCACGGAGAATGAATGAATGAATCTCAGTAATCTTAAAATACTGAATTCTTACAAAATATGTTCTCTGATCATAATAAAATGAAATTAGAAATCAATAATAATAATGAAATGTCCATAAAATGTTTGGAAATTAAACAATTCTGCTACATAATCCATGGATCAAACAAGAAATCAGAAGGGAAATTTTAAAATGTTTTTAATTGAATGATGCTGAAATTACAACATGCCATAATTTATGTGATGCAGCTAAAGTGCTTAGAGAGAAATTTACAACTTTAAATGTTTATCTTAGAAAAAGAGAAAGCTTTAAAATCAGTGATCTAATAAGATCTGGAAAAAGAAGAACAAAGTTGAATCCAAAGTAAGTTAAAGGAAAGAAATAATAAAAAAAATAAGTAAAAATTAATGAAATAGGCATTAGACAAACAATGGAGGAAACTAATAAAGCCAAAAGTTGGTTCTTTGAAACATTTTATTGAATTTGATAAACCCCTCAAAAAAAGAAAACAAATCAATAGCAAGGAGAAAAAGGGATTATCGCTGTAGATACAGAAAGGATAATAAGACAACATTATGAACAATTTAATAGTAACAAATTCAACAACTTAGATGATATGGGCAAATTCCTTACAGGACATAATTAAAACTCCATTAGAAGTTACTACTTTTGACTTTTGAATCTTTGACATGGAGATCTTTCTCTTGGTTAACAAATGGAATTATCTTCCTGTCTTCCTATCTCCTCAATCCCAGGTGATGATGCTTTCAAAAACTATCCTAGAGCTCTCCCTGCCCTTATTTACCTCAAAGCATGATTTTTCTATTTGTGATAACACTTTAAGTCCTAGAAGAGAAATCTAGGTATTTATTTACCCTTTAGGGATTTCTAAAGTCTGTCAAGAGGGATTACTTTTCACCCTATAGCATAGAACAGGATTATATAGGTGAGCCATGGCAGAATTCTGAAGACTGACCTGGATTATCTTTTTTTCTTAGTCACCATGGTTTTGGGACACTCGACAATGCTGGCATAGCTATCCATATCAGGTAGGATCTGAGCACTTATGTATATGTATAAAATAGAGTGGGGGACAGTGTAATCACAGGAAATATATCACATTTCCTTGGTATTCTTAAGGGATTAGGGGCTGAGTCTCTTTGAGTAATATATACAGAGTATCTATTTCTGGGGTCCCCATAGCTGTGAAATCCAGTGATCTTTTTGTTCCAGTTCCCTATTATATTCAGTATGATCCCCTAATTGGGCTGGAAACAAAAGCAGCTTTTTGGCACTTAATGAAGTGCTTTCTGGTTCGGGTGTCATTTTTGAGTCAAGGATAACTTGGAGTTCCCTTAATCTATACTATTAAAAGGTCAGGAGTGTTAGAAGGAAAGGCCTAAGTGTATTTAATCCCTTAAAGAGCATTAATTGCCCAGAATTTTAAATACACTAAAAGATGAGAGCTGAACATATATATCCTATATAATAAAAGCCTAATATGTGAAGTGTTCAACCTGTTGACCAGTCGCTATGGTGCGCACTGACCACCAGGGGCAGATGCTCCAACTGGTAGTTAGCTTGCTGCTGGGGTCCAGCTGATTGGGCCAGACATGCCCTGGAGCCCTCCCGCAGTCCCTCCACAGTCCCATTATGTACCGGTGGGGTCCCTCGGCCTGGCCTGCACCCTCTCCCAATCCTGGACCCCTCATGGAATGTCAGAGAGTCGGTTTCGGCTCAATCCCCCCAGGCCAGGCCAAGGGACCCCACCAGTCCATGCACCAGGTTTAATTCTCGATACTAACCCAAAGCCTGTTGTTAGCTATTGAAGATCTTGGAAGATGATAGGGAGAAAAGACTGAAGTCATTTCTTAATGTTTTTTATGACTATTGGTCCTCCAAGTAGAGATAGTTGCAGACATAGAATGAATCTTTGACTAGCTGGTATTCTAACTAATTCTTTCTCTCTTTCAGCCTCTCACAAGTGGGCTTTATTACTATTATATCATGGAATTGGCCTTTTATTGGTCTCTAATGTTTTCTCAGTTTACAGACATTAAAAGAAAGGTAAGGATCCTGGTTCCCTCGATTCCCAATAACTTATTGCTTCCTCCTTCCTAGCAGCTACCATTACTGCCATTGTGATGGATTCTCTGTCCTAACTGAGATCACAGAAGAGGGAGAAAGCAGGTTTGAATGGACTATTAGCTCTTTGTAATGTTCTCAGAAATGAGATTTGACTAATGAAGAAGTATATTTGAGGCCTTCAGGGTAGCCAAGATGAGAACAGTTACCAGCTAAGCGTACCTTTTTCTTTATTTTCCTCCAAGGCTCTTAGAGAAAACTAGTCAGAACATAGGGATAGCAAGGCATGATCCAGAACAGGCCTGAATCTATAAAGGCTAAATTTGGCCGAAGCCGGTTTGGCTCAGTGGTAGAGCGTCGGTCTGCGGACTGAAAGGTCCCAGGTTCGATTCTGGTCAGGGGATGTACATTGGTTGTGGGCACATCCCCGGTGGGGGTGGGGGGTGGGGTGCAGGAGGCAGCTGGTCGATGTTTCTCTCTCATCGACGTTTCTGGCTCTCTATCTCTCTCCCTTCCTCTCTGTAAAAAAAAAAAAAAATCAATAAAATATATATTTTTTTAAATGCTAAATTTGGCTTTTGCTTGACATTAGGGGCCCTTGTTCTCTCTCTGCTTTTCCTTCTTGGTGACCCCTCTTACTCAAAGAATTTCAACTGGAAAAGGTTCTAGATTTATTTTTTTTTTTATTTTTTTTTATTTTTTTACCATTTTCTTGCTATTATTTAGGAAACAAAGATTCAGAAAAGTAAGTTGATTTGTCCACATAGTGACAAATTTGGAAATGACAAGTTTTTTATAAGTAGACAATCTTCACCTCTTATTGTTGTCCACCTGACATAATGTAGTTCCAGCAGCTCTAGCCCTAATCTGTTACTAAGTTATGGTTATTTTTGGTGAGAAAGCCAAAGTAGCATTTATGGGAATGGACTGAAACTAAATCTGGGTTGTTAATTGTTACATAACCTACAAGCTTGATACTCCAGTCAGGTGACTTTCACTCTCCTATGGTCGGGAGATACAGGTCCCCTTATTAAAATTTTGTTTTAAACATGACACAAATATAAAGGTTTAAAAATATACATTCTAGTATGTATATTTTTGAACCCATATCCAACTCAAAAACTAGAATATATCGCTGTATCTGTCTATGTGGGAAATATAACTTTTCATCCTTGTTTCTCCTGCCTTCTCCCACCTTGTGTCCCTCACTGGGCTAAGAAGTATTTACTAGCTATGTCTGATAACTCAGGTATTTAGAGATTTCTTCAGGTTAACCCTTGGCATTGTAATCTGAGAAGAAATTAGAGCTTTTTGTTGTTGTTTTTGTTAATCCTCACCAGAGATATTTTTCCCTTTGATTTTTTTTTAGACAGAGTAGAAGAGAGGGAGTGAGGGGGCAAAAGTCAGAGAGAGAGAGTGTTTGAGACATCGATATGATAGAGACACATCGACCAACTGGTTGCCTCCCACACATGCCTCAACAGGGGCTAAGACCTGAACCCCAACGTAGGAATGTGCCCATGCCCAGAAATTGAGCTGACAGCCTTTGATGTGCAGGCTGGCACTCCAACCATTGGGTCACACTGGCCAGGACTAAATTAGAGCTTTTTAACCTGCTTTAAGCTATATTAACATAGATTATGGGTCATTGATGTAGAGAATTGAGGTCAAATGCTAGGCAACTTTTTTTTCACTACATTTTATTGATTTCTTATAGAGAGGAAGGAAGAGGGATAGAGAGTTAAAAACATCAATGAGAGAAAAACATCTATCAGCTGCCTCCTGTACACGCCCTGCTGGGGATGTGCCTTCAACCAAGGTACATGCCCTTGGCTGGAATCGAACCTGGGATCCTTCAGTCTGCAGGCTGACACTATCCACTGAGCCAAACTGGTTAGGGCCTAGGCAGCTTCTTAATGGAGAGTTTAAACAGAATGGAACTTCTAAGGCTGGGATTAAGATCTTTAGAGAACAATGTAGGACATTGAGTTGGCTAGCATCTCTATGGCCCTGCCTATACCTGCTTCTTCTATTTCCATTCCTTCCTAGGACTTCCTGATCATGTTTGTGCATCACTTAGCCACCATTGGGCTCATCACCTTCTCATATATCAACAACATGGTTCGGGTAGGAACTCTGGTCATGTGTCTACATGATGCCTCAGACTTCTTGCTGGAGGTAAGACCCCAATTCCTTTTCCCTCATTATTCCTCTATTTATCTCCTTTGCTTCCTGAGAACAGGCTTTCTCCTCAGTTTAATTCTTCCTTTTTCCAGGCCGCCAAGCTGGCCAATTATGCCAAATATCAGCGTCTCTGTGACACCCTTTTTGTGATCTTCAGTGCTGTTTTTATGGTCACTCGTCTTGGAATCTATCCATTCTGGTAAGTGTTAGAGCTGTGGAACTGGTATAGGAATGTAGCTAATGATACCTTTTGTCAGTTTAGGGAGTAAACCACCAAGAACCTGATGCCCTGCTTTTTCCTTGACCTAACCTCAGTTCCCTTGCATAGTATTTCTAGTGAGGCATGATCCAGACTCAGAGCATCCAACTCACTGGCTGTGGCTTTCCTAAATCATCTCTGAGGAACAGTCCTCATTTTATGCCTAAGTATTTCATTTGCTTTCTTGTGTGCTGATTACAAAATTCTCAGGCTCTTCTTGCTTGTTTTCCTACTCACACCCTTTCTCCTACCCTGACAACACACACACATACACACACACACACACACACACACACACACACGCGCGCGCGCACGTCTCTCACTTCACTCACTATTTCATGGTACAAAGTCAGTGACTCTATGGATTGGAGATCACATTTAATCTAAGGGAATAAGCTACTAACTATTCTATATGTACCTGAGGATCTAAGTCCTAGGATTATGATTAAAATTGCTGTCCCAGTTTTGTGCATATTTGAAGTGATTAATAATATAACTTATTCCGTTAGTTCCTATGGTTTACACAGTGGAACCTTGGTTCTTGAACTTATTTCTTCTGGAAGGCTGTTCAGAAAGTGGTTTATTCAAAAACCAAATCATTTTTTCTCATTTTTTAATTAGTAAATTGAATGAATTTGTTCCAGACCCCCAAATGATTCCCTCTTTCAACCTTTCTTATATGTAGTACATGTCTAATGTACTGTTTAATCTATAAACACTTTACAAACAAAAAGGACATGAAATGTAAATGAAAATTTAACAGAAAGGAAATGAAATGTACAGTAAAAAATAAAAATTTGCATACATACTAGAACTTACCTTTAATGTTGAGAGCTATTAATGACTGAATATGGAGAGGAGGGATGGAGGGATGTTATTGTTGCCCCTTCCATAAAAAACTTCTCTCTTTTGTCTCTTTGCTCCACTAGAATTTGCTTCAGGCTCCCTGGGCCTCTGTGTCACTAAAAACCTATTCAATTATGTTTGTTTTTATCTACATTTTAACACTTTTCTGAAGTGAAACACTGCATTGTCATTGAACAAGTTTGTTGCTTCATTGTCAGGGTGATTTTTCTCAATAAAATTTTGCATTTCTCCTCATTTCCTAAGCATTTTCTTGGTTAGTGAAGTAGGAATATCCCTTCCCTTCTCAGAAGGGAGCTCTTCAGCTGCTGTATGTTGCTGTTCCCTCTGAAGGTCAGCTCAGTGTTGTGGTCCTCCACATCATTACCCACCTCCAAGCCATGGACTTGCCCCAGGACACATTATCCTCCACAACAGACATAGGCTTATCCTCAAAGCCCTCAAAGTCTCTTTCAGCAACAGACTCAGGCCACATTTTCAGGCAGATTGCATGGTCCTGGAAGACACTTTCCCCTATGCTTTGTCTGTGAGCCTCAAGCAAGTGAGAATATTAAAATGTTCCTTCCAGAACTCCCCAAGAGTTAAATTAGTTTTAGTTTTTTAATCACCTCAAAACATCTCTGATACAGTGCCTTTGTGTAGTTCTTTTTTTTTTTTTTTTTTTAATATATCTTATTGATTTTTTACAGAGAGGAAGGGAGAGAGATAGTTAGAAATGTCGATGAGAGAAACATCGACCTGCTGCCTCTTGCACACCCCCTACTGGGGATGTGCCCGCAACTAACGTACATGCTCTTGACCGGAGTCGAACCTGGGACCTTTCAGTCCGCAGACCAACGCTCTACCACTGAGCCAAACCGGTTTCGGCATCTTTGTGTAGTTCTTAAAAGTTAGAAATGACCTGCTAGTCCATGGGCTGGATAAGAGGGGCTGTATTAGGTGGCAAGAACCTGATAGTGATGAAGCTGTACTCCTCCACCAACTCGGCCTCCAAGCCTGGAGGGAGGGAAGGAGCACTGTCCATACAAGCAGTACCTGAGTGGCGATTGTTTTTCCCAGAGGTATTTCTTCCCACTTAGGGCAAACATTTCATGAATCCACTCAATAAAAACATCGCCTGGTTACCCAAGCGTTGCTATTAGCCCTGCGCATCGCATTCAACTTATTTTTCATGACATTATTTTTCTTGAAAACTCACGGTTTTCAGAACGATAGACCAGTAGAGGCTTCAATTTAAAGTCCCCACTTGCATTCCCACACAAAAAGTCATCCTGTCCTTCATTAGCTTGTGTCCTGGCAGTGACTTCTCCTGTGTGATATAAGTCCTCTTTGGCATTTTCTTCCAGAAGAGGCTTGTCTCATCACAATTGAACACTTACTGGGGAACAAACCCCTTGGCCTCTACATATTCTTGAAATTCTGTTATGAAATTATCAGCATATACTTTGTTAGAGTTAGCAGCCTCCCTATGCCTGACTACACTATGAATGCCACTTCTTTTCTTTTGTTTTAAATATATTTTAATTGATTTTGTACAGAGAGGAAGGGAGAGGGATAGAGAGTTAGAAACATCGATGAGAGAGAAACATCCATCAGCTGCCTCCTGCACACACCCCACTGAGGATGTGCCCGCAATCAAGGTACATGCCCTTGACTAGAATCGAACCTGGGATCCTTGAGTCCACAGGCTGAAGCTCTGTCCACTGAGCCAAACCAGTTAGGGCAATGCCACTTATTTTCTTAAATTTATCAAACTACCTTCTACTAGCTTTAAGTCACTTTCAATACTCATTCCAGGGTTATCTTTTAGGAGGTCAGTATGCAGCATCTTCACATATCATTGTCTCCAAAGTGCTACATCACTGACTTTTCACTTATCAAAAATCAACAATTTTTCTGCTGCTTCATTTGCCTGTGATCTTTGTTTCATGAGCATTGTCACATCTTTAGCAACATCAGCTCTCTTAGGGGCCTCTTTATGTTTTAAAATTGTATAAGTTAGTTATTGATTTCATCATGCTATACTCGGTAGCCAAATTAGACATGCAAATACCTCAATCATACTTGGCAATTATTTCTTTTTTTAAGCTCTGTCGTTCTCACAACTTTCTTTCTTCTTCTTTTTTTTTTATTTTTTTTTAAGATATTTTATTGATTTTGTACAGATAGGAAGGGAGAGAGATAGAGAGTCAGAAACATCGATGAGAGAGAGTCATCGATCAGCTTCCTCTTGCACACCCCCCACTGGGGATGTGCCCGCAACCGAGGTACATGCCCTTGACCGGAATCGAACCCGGGACCTTTCAGTCTCCAAGCCGACTCTCTATCCACTGAGCCAAACCGATCTCGGCTCTTTTTTTTTTTTTTAATAAATTTTTATTGTTCATATTATTACAAATGTTCCTTTTTTTCCCTCCTCCATTGCTCTCCTCCACCAGGTTCCCACTCCACCCCCTGCCCTTTCCCCACCCCCCCATTGTCCTCACCTATAGGTGCACAGTTTATGTTCAGTCTCTTCCCAAATCCCCCTCTCCCCTTTTCCCCAAGTATCGTCAGTTCACTCCCCTTCCATACCTCTGATTCTGTTATATTCAATATTAATATGTTCATCAGATTTTTTTTTAATTTCCTTGGTTTTTAGATTCACTTGTTGATAGTTACGTATTTGTTGTTCATAATTTTTATCTTTATTTACTTTCTCTTCTGAAAGAACCCCCTTCAGCAATTCATATAATTCTGGTTTGGTGGTGATGAACTCCTTTAGCTTTTTTTTTTTATTAGTGAAGCTCTTTATCTGACCTTCGATTCTGAGTAATAGCTTTGCTGGATAGATTATCTTTGGCTGTAGGTTCTTACTATTCATCACCTTGAATATTTCTTGCCATTCCTGTCTAGCCTGCATGGTTTCTGTTGAGAAATCAGCTGACAATCGTATAGGTGCTCTTTTATAGGTAACTACCTGCTTTGCTCTCGCTGCTTTTAATATTCTCTCTTTGTCTTTTGCTCTTGAAATTTTAAATATGATTTGTCTTGGTGTGGTCCTCTTTGGATTCCTTTTGTTTGGAGAGCTGTGCGCTTCCTGGACTTGTAAGTCTAATTCTTTCACCAGGTGGGGGAAGTTTTCTGTCACTATTTCTTTCAGTATGTTTTTGATATCTTGCTCTCTCTCATCTTCTAGGACCCCCATAATTCTGATGTTGGTTCGCTTGAAGTTGTCCCAGAGGTTTCTTACATTATCTTCAATTTTCTGGATTCTCTTGCCTTCTAGCTTCTGTGGAGGAGTGTCTTCTGGCTCTTTATGTTCCAAATCTTTGACTTGATTCTTGCGATCTTCCATTCTGTTTTTAGGACTCTGTATAATATTTTTTATTTCAGACAATGTATTCTTTTTTTAAATATATTTTTTAAATATATTTTATTGATTTTTTTACAGAGAGAAAGGGAGAGAGATAGAGAGCTAGAAACGTTGATGAGAGAGAAACATCGACCAGCTGCCTTTTGCACACCCCCTACTGGGGATGTGCCCGCAACCAATGTACATGCCCTTGACCGGAATCGAACCTGGGACCTTTCAGTTCTCAGACCGACACTCTACCGCTGAGCCAAACTGGCTTCGGCTCAGACAATGTATTCTTTCTTTCTTGTTGATCCCTTATCATTTCTTGTTGATCCCTTATTATTTCTTGTTGATCCCTTATCATTTCTTGTTGATTCCTTATTAATCCTAGTTGATCTCTTTTCATATCTTCATATGTCTTATCAATCTTTTCTAATTCTTGAAATTCTTGAAAAACCTTATTAGCGTAGATTTGAACTCTATATCCAGTCACTTTTTGTCCTACATTTCTTTCGTTTGTGTCACAACTTTCCTTTTCACTTTGCTACTATCACTAACCTTCTTAGGACCCATGTAACTTACTGTAATATTTAATAATAATGGCAGCAACAAAAGCCAAAAAAAAAAACCAAAAAAAAAAACCACGTGAAAATATTTATAGCACAATTTCCTGAAATGTTAACAATGTGAAGTTTAGTGGTAAACTGACTCATACTCAGGCATTCTCTCCTGTTTGTCACCTGAAAGACACGTGATTATATACATACATACAGGTGAAAGGGTTGTTGGGTCGAGAACCAAAGTTTTGCTTGACAACCAAGACATTTTTTTCCATGAACAACTTAGTCAAAAACTGAATTGTTTGAAATGGGAGACATTTGAATGTTTATCTTCCCTTACCCCTAAAGATAGAAAACTTCATAGGCTGCCTTCCTTTATTTTCTCATTGTGGATGAATGACCATGGAACTTCAACTGAGAGAGAAGGTACAGGGAGAAAACAGGTTCTGCTTCTCAGGGAACTCAGCTTCATCCATAGCTGCCTGGCTTATACTCTACAACCTGACCACTGGTCTCCTTCTAGGATTCTGAACACAACCCTCTTTGAGAGTTGGGAGATTATTGGACCCTATCCCTCCTGGTGGCTCTTCAATGGCCTCCTCCTGATCCTACAGGTTCTGCATGTCATCTGGTCCTACCTAATTGCAAGAATTGCTTTCAAAGCCTTGATCCGAGGAAAGGTGAGGATGAAAGATGGCTTCTTTCTTTGGGACTGAGTAGAAAAATGGATATTACTCAATAGGCCTTCTCTTTTGATCTAACCTAGTGAGCCCCATCTATACAAGAAGACGCAGCAAAAAGCCTAGGGATCCATAGTTTTCACCTTTTCTATAAGTATGAGTGGTTAGTCTCTTAGGACATGATTTAGATGTAAGAGGAAGGATCTTCCTTCTTCCTATCTTTTAGAAACGACTGTTGTAAAATAATGAACAGGATTAGGTTTTACAGAAGACCTCAACCATTTCCTACCCCTTACCTACGTACTTCAGTAGATTTCATAGTTTTTATTTTTAGCTGGGGAGCCTTTTTTCAAGGAAAACATGCATAGCTCCAAGATAAAAACTGTAAAGGTAGTGATTGCCGAGGGAGTGGTGTTGGTTCACAAACCACCTCAAAATGACCATTCTGGGATGTTCAAGATATGGTTGATGTGAGAGACAAGTTCTGGCCTCATTCCACTGTTGTGTGAGGCAAGGATCTTAAGTAAGAAGGCTATTTAGGGTTTCAAATACCCATCTTATGCCCAGAGCCCACAAGCACAGAGAGAAGTGTCATTTAATGATAAAATTCATAAGTGAACCAAGTTCTAAAGCAGTCAGGTTTTAATCAGTCTAAGGGCTGGGGATTCAGCCTTCAGTAATACAGAATCCCAAGGTGGGGGTGGGGGTGGGTCTGCTAGAGGACACAGTGACTCTAGGACAAAGGGATGGAATGTTACCGGGCATATAGGACCTCTTATGTCTGTTCCTTATGGCTGCAATTGGTTACAGAACTTGCTCAGTGTGTCTATGCATCTTGCTATAGCTACTAGACATCTCTTTTCTCCCCTGCTTTTCTTTTCTGACCAGGTGACTTATCCAGGAAGGATTACACCCAGATTCTATATTCTCCACTCTCTTTTCACCTCCTTCCTTTTTTCTCTGCCTGGCGGGAGCTGGACAATTTCGTCTCTTGCATGTAAGTGTATCTGTGCTTCCAGTATTCAGTGAAGCATGTCTTTCTGAATGTGTTTCTCTTTCTTCCTGCTTTCCTCCATGTTCCCATGTTGTCTGAAAGCATGCCTCCTCTCCTGACCTTGGTGGGGCCATTGTTGACTGGAGCTCAAGCTGCTGCCAGATTTTCCTAAATGGAGGCAAGAATGGAGTCTGCTCTATTTGTTTTACTTCCCTTCTCCCTTTTTGAGCCTCTCTTTACCTCAGATCTAGACACACTGTGCTCTCTGGTAGACATTTTCTAAAAATCAGGAATCACTTAGTTATCTGGGTTCAGAAGTCAACAGCTATTATAAACCATAGAATCTTAGAGCTAACCAAAGCAAGTGCCCCACTTCTTAGAAACAACAATTGTACTTTTATTTCCTTTTCACCTTTATTTACTTATTTAAAAAACAGCACATATTTATTATCCTTTAGTTCTGGAGGTCAGAAGTCTGTCATAGGTTTCATTGGGTTTCTCTATTTTACTTTTATGGTCCATTGTAGAGAATTTGAAATATTTTGTTTGATATGCAGGATAATTTAGATTTGAAAACACTGCTCTAATCCAAACTATTCATTTGAAAATATAAAATAAAAAAGCTGAGGTTAAGCAGTCAAGATTCACAAATAGAACCATGATTGGGACTGGGACTCTTTCTCCCACGATTGCCAATCCACTTTTCACCATGTGGATCTTGGGAATGCCAGAGTTGCACAAGAGAAGTGATCTTGCTTTCAGGAAAAGGAAGAAGATTGGAGAAATGGTGTCATAGGATATTGCTAATTGCGCCCAGAATAAATAGAACTGAAAAAGTCCTAGTATGGATCAGTTTTGGAAACAGAACAAAACTCAGGATAACCAATATGAATAACTGCAATCACCATTACCACCAGAAGATAGACACAATGATGACAGTCATATGCATTATTTATGTTTTCCTTTTTCTACTTTTGGAGATGGAAGGAGAAAAGGGGTGTCTGGAGTATCCCTCAAACCTAAATCAGAACTCAGGGAATGATTTCTTAGGCTCGTCCTGAAAGACACACACCTCAACCAAACTAGCTACTTATTCCGTAAAGAATAAAAACAGAAATGATAAGAGAGAAACCCAGGAAGCAGGCAAAGGATATTCAAAACAGTAGCCATGGCCCAGATAATGTTTTGGGTCAGGTGCCACCAGAAAGTAGGCCAAATTGGAAACAGTGCCCAAACATGGGCTCTGTGGGCTTTGTCTTAAGTTTCCAGAAAAGTCCTGTCCTCACCTTTCCTCCCTTGGCCCACCCCACGCAGGTGTCTAAGGATGACCGCAGTGACGTGGAGAGCAGCTCAGAGGAAGAGGATGTGGCCGCCAACACAAAAAGCTCCTGCGGCAGCGGCTCCAGCAATGGTGCCAGTTGGGTGAATGGCCACATGGGAGGCAGCTGCTGGGCTGAAGAGTGAAATGGTTGGTAAGGGGACTTAAGCACACATGGACTTGTAGGGCCCCTGGCTACCTGCTCTTCTTGGGCCTCCCCAAACCTGCACTCCTGAGACGAGGGGTCTGCAGGCACTGAGGAGAATCAAAGAAGCAAATATTTTCACTTTTTTAAAAACTATGCCATTTTGTATTTAATAGCCTCCAGGTTCTTTCCATAATATTTGCTGTGTGTGTGTGTGTGTGTGTGTGTGTGTGTGTGTGTGTGTGCGCGCGCGCGCACGCACGCACATGTGCATGAGTTTCATTGCCTGGGTTGGGGCACAATTCTGAACTGGGGCCTCTAGGCCTTACCTGGTCCACCTCAATCCCAGATTTGGCTGCATCTTGAATTATTCTGGTTCTGGACTATCCCTTCCCTTCTTGTCCATGACTCTTGAGGCTCTGGACATCTGAATGGAGCAGCCAAGTTAAGGTTTCTGCACTGTTCTTCCTTCAGAGCTGGAATATTTCACATGAAGTTGTGTAGAAACAGATAACCATGGATGAATGGCCAGGATTGCTGTGACCCCTAGCTACATCTCCTTCCTACCGCCTGGTAGTGACAGGGACAGCTGCTGATAACCCTGCTCTTTACTCAATGGTACGCAGGGGATGGGGGTGGGAGAGGGTGAGCAGAGAGCTAAGGAGGACAACAGCCACTGGGTGAGCTGTTAACGGTTTATACTATTGTTTACTCTTCTGTGATTAAAAGTGCTTCAACCCTCTTCTGCTATCTCAAACTCTTTAGTGACTCTGTCCCCAATTCCCTCAATCCATAAGCCAATTAAGGATTTTTTTTCAGGTCTGATTCTGAAGCCATTGGATACCAAATTTTTCCTTTCTGTGCATGCTGGGAAGAGAGTGCCTACGTTTTAGGACTTTATATTTTAAGAAAAGATAAACATGTATAGTAATCACAAGAAAAAATACTGAGCAGATTAAAGTATGTATATCACCAAACCAACAAAGACTTTAAAGAGCTAAGACACTTTTAGTTAAAAATACAGATACTGCCAGTTAACATTTTAAAATTATGATAAGTGAATCTAAGCAGATGTTTTCTCTTTTAGCCCATAGAAAAACAGTCTTCCTTGTCCAGGTTTTTCTCTAGTTGAGGTCTTGGCAAAATTACCAATAGTAGTAATTATTCACTGGCTGGTATGGCTCGGTTGGGTGTCATCCCATGCACCAGAAAGGTTTCTAGTTCGATTCCTGGTGAGGGCACATGCCCACATTGTAGTCTCAATCCCCAGTAGGCAGCTGATTGATGTTCCGCTCTCACATTGATGTTTCTCTCTTTCTCTAAAAATCAATAAAAAGAATTTTTTTAAAGAATAGTAGTATTGTCGAAACCGATTTGGCTCAGTGGTAGAGCGTCGGTCTGTGGACTGAAAGGTCCCAGGTTCGATTCCGGTCAAGGGCATGTACATTGGTTGCGGGCACATCCCCAGTGGGGAGTGTGCAGGAGGCAGCTGATCGATGATTCTCTCTCATCGACGTTTCTAGCTCTCTATCTCTCTCCCTTCCTCTCTGTGAAAAATCAATAAAATATATATTTTTTTAAAAAAAGAATAGTAGTATTAATGTCTTAGGAGAGTTTTCTGCTTAGTGAATATTCATATCAAAATATTTCCAGCCCTAGCTAATTTGGCTCAGTGGATAGAGCGTCAGTCTGAGGACTGAAGGGTCCCAGATTTGATTCTGGTCAAGGGCACATACCCGGTTGTGGGCTCAATCCCCAGTAGGGGGCGTGCAGGAAGCAGCTGGTCAGTGATTCTCATTATTTATGTTGTGTTTTTTTTAATATTTTTATTGATTTCAGAGAGGAAGGGAGGGGGAGAGAGAGAGAGAGAAAAACATCAGTGATGAGAGAGAATATTGATCTGCTGCCTCCTGCACACCCCACACTGGGGATCGAGCCCACAACCCCGGCATGTTCCCTTGTTTGGAATCAAACCCAGGACCCGTCAGTCTACAGGTCAACTCTCTATCCATTGAGCAAAACCAGCCAGGGCTTATCATTGATGTTTCTAGCTCTTCCCTCTCACTTCCTCTCTGAAATAAATAAAAATATTTTTAAAATATATAAATACTGCCGAAACTGGTTTGGCTCAATGGATAGAGCGACGGCTTAGGGACTAAAAGGTCCCGGGTTTGATTCCGGTCAAGGGCATGTACCTTGGTTGCGGGCATATCCCCAGTAGGGGGTGTGCAAGAGGCAGCTGATCGATGACTCTCATCGATGTTTCTAATTATCTCTCTCCCTTCCTCTCTGTACAAAATCAATAAAATATATTCTTTTAAAAAATTAAAATATATATATACTGAGTGGCCAGATTATTATGATCTCTGAATGCATAATAATCTGGCCACTCAGAGTGTGTGTGTGTGTGTGTGTGTGTGTGTGTGTGTGTGTGTGTGTGTTAGAGGCCCGATGCATGAATTCGTGCATGGATGGGGTCCTGGCCAGGGGGAAGGGACATGGGCGGTTGGCCAGCCTGCCTGCTGGTTGAACTCCTGATCGAGGGGACAATTTGCATATTAACCTTTCATTATATAGGATATACACTGAGTGGCCAGATTATTGTGCAATCAGAAATCATAATAATCTGGCCACTCAGTGTATATATTTCCAGGTGCTCTATGTACATTAAGACGTATGTAGTATTTCATTGTCAGGGAATTTGAATGCAAATTGAATGAAATAGGTTATTGTTCTATGAATCAGATACTTAATTGATGTTCACTGACAATATAGAGATATTGACCCTTCTAAAATTACCTTACTGAGTGGCTGGATTTTTTAAAAAACTGTGGTGTAGGGGAAAATTAAGTCTTAAAAAAAAAAAAATCTTACAAATTTAGTCATATCTAGTCAGTAAGAGTAAAAGATTAGCCCAGCCAGCTTGGCTCAGTGGTTGAGTGTCAACCTATGAACCAGTAGGTCATAGTTCGATTCCCAGTTAGGGCACATGCCCAGGTTGCGAGCTGGATCCCTAGTGTGGGGCATGCTGAAGGCAGCTGATCAATGATTCTCTCATCATTGATGTTTCTGTATCTCTCTCCATCTCCTTTCCTCTCTGAAATCAATTAAAATACATATTTTTTAAAAAGACTAAAACACTCAGGTCTTACAACTAATTCCTCAACTTACCTTATTGTTAAATAGACTAGTAATTGTAAAATATGAATGAAATGCTTTTGAAAGTCAGAAAAGATATGTATTTTGTTTCCCAGGGGAGAAAAGAGAAGATTATTTACTAGTCTGGCTAGAAGTTAGTGTTGCCAATCTCTAGGAATTCAGTCAGGGCTGTCAACTAAGGTATCTGCACATGACTTTCTAAAATTTAAACAATTACTTTGTAAAGATGCAACCAAGTCCATAGCTAAGACATAGCTTTTTATTATATGCCAGGCACTGTTTAAAGCACTTATGATAAAAATGAAGCAAAAAGAGATCAACTTGCCAAAGGTCAGGCCAGCTAGTAAAATGTCAAACACTGTGTCTCCATTCTTTTTTAAATACATTTTTATTGATTTCAGAGAGGAGAGAAAGATAGAAACAGCAATGATGAGAGAGAATCATTGATTGGCTGCCTCCTGCACGCCCCACACTGGGGATGAGCCCACAACCTGGGCATGTGCACTTGACCAGAATCGAAAACTGGGACCCTTTAGTCTGCAGGCCAATGCTCTATCCACTGAGCCAAACCAACTAGGGTCACCGTGTCTCTATTCTTAACCATTATATTTGACCACTTCCCAAAACTTCATAATGAGGAAGAATAGATGTTGAAGAAACATTTAGCCAGAGGCATAGACTGATTAGAGTTTGTCTTGGATAAGTAAATAGATTAGGGTCAATTATAAGAACAGGTTCTTGTTCTGAGAAGGAACTGTGCATAAAGTGGGTGAGAGAAAGGGTGTTAGTGGGTGTGAATACTAGATGATAAGAGTGTTATGGCAGCAAGATAGTCATGAGGCTAGTTTTATAGATGGACGAGGAAGTTTTCTTGCCTGAGAGGAAGGAAACTGGTGAAGAGCTGGTTAGATGCAGACTCACATCATCCCTACCAGAGAACTAAGAATATTGGTGAGAGAAGCAAGATATTACCTCTCCTCTGTTTAATATAAAAGGTTTTTAACTTCATTATTTAAAAAATAACATGTCTGTGTAGTTTTACTACTTAGAAAATGATTTTACATACATCAAAAAGTGAACTTAAGATAAGTTTTGAAAGGAAGGATTATCCTCATACAACAAGTGAATAGTATGGTTATTACTATGTAATTAACCACCCTAAAATACAGTGGCTTAAAAGAACAGTTTATTATTTCTCATGGTTTGGTTGGTTGACTGAGCTCAGCCGGTGATATCTCATGTGACCCAGTCTGATGGCAGCTGGGAATAGTCATTTGAAGACAACTGGGCTGGATGTTTAAGATGATTTACTAACCTGGGTAGAAGTTAGTGTTGGCCGATCCCTAGGAATTCAGTCTGGTCCATCAGCTAAGGTACCTTCACATACCCACTCCGTGTGTTGGGCTTTGCACAAGTGATTGTGTTCCAAGAGGCAGGAAGCAGAAGTTACTAAGCCATTTAAGAGCATTGTCCATAACTGCCGCGTATCACTTCCACTGTATTAAAGTAATCACTGGGACCACCTAGATTCAGAGGATTGTGAGATAGACTCTACCTCTTGATGGAGTGGCACAGTCATTGCAGAAGAGCGTGTGGAAGGGAGAGACAGTTGCATTCATCTTTGAAAAATTGAATCTACCCCAATGAGGAAACTGAGTAACAGGAGTTACTTAAAAAAACACAAACAGCCCTGGCCAATTTTGCTCAGTGGATAGAGCATTGGCCTATGGACTGAAAGGCCCCAGGTTCAATTACAGTCAAAGGCACATGCCAGGTTGTGGGCTTGATTCCCAGTGTGGGGCATGCAGGAGGCAGCTGATCCATGATTCTGTTTCATCATTG